TATATAAAAAAATCATGTTATATTTGTTTTCAATTTATTTTATGAGCTTTCATTTGCAATTTGGTGTTCTGGGAAAAGTGTGCGCAGGTAAGTGTGCGCATGCGTACACTTGCCCCTTCGGTGTTATTTTCAGTTTCTCATCACCATGCCGTGAAATTATATAAGAAAAAGACCTGACCTTGCATCGGTCATTGAAGAACAAATCTCTAAAGCCAAAGCACTCATTGGGCATGAGCAAAAGAAAGAGCAAAAGAGCTGCTGCAAGTGCCATTGGTATTAGCGAGTATTGTATTCGAAATCAACATCATCGTCTTGAAGAGAAAGAACAAAGTTTTCTATGGCCTCGACCTCTACAACAGTAGAATACTGTTGTCCTCTATGTAAGCAAAAATATACAGAGCCAAATACTGAAGTATAGAGTCAGTGCATGTATTGCAAAGACTGGTGACATGAGGATGCCATCTGATGAGGATGCACTGCATATGAGAGAGGTGTTTTTGTTTGTGATAATTGTACTGATGATCGCTAAATTAGTATTGTTTCTAATACATAAGACAATCCCAACTAAAATATGTTAATCTCTAAATATTAATAATTAAAAGTTTCTCTAATTTAATTTAAATAAATGTTAAGTTTATTTTATTTTATGAGATAATTGTTATTTGTTATGCAAAGACTAATAACTAATAAAAATATTTTCTAAGTGGCATTACAATAAAGAACCTTTATTCTTGAATATTGTGTATATTTTGATTAATCCAAGGAATATCGTATCCATATGCGTATACTTACCCCGTACGGGTGTGCACAGTTGCCCGCATCGTGGGTCAAGTGAGCGCATTTCGATTTTATGTAATTAAATGCTTACAGAAAAAAAAAACACCAAGTTTTCTATTCTTGTTTTTATTTCAATTTAGAGGCTACTATATGTTTTATCTCAGGTCCATCTTTTATGTTCCTAACTCTTTTATTTTATGCGTAGTGAACTAATATTTACCAAAGTGCGCACATTTGACCCGAATGACTCTACGGTGAAACCTGGTTAAGTGGGACCTGGATAAGTGAGAAACCTCTATTATTGACAGTTGCAATGAGGTCCCGGTTCTTTTTCATTAAATTACCTCTGTTAATGGGACTTTTTGAACCTGGTTAAATGAGATTTGAATTCTAAGAATTTTTTGATGTTTACCTCTATAATTGACTCTGTAGCTCAATTACCTGTATAAGTGGGACAAATGAATCTGGTTTTAACACGTTTTGACATGTTTGTTTACATACATTTCGCGTCGTCTTTCGCGCTTGCTTTGTTTGTCAGTACGGGGCCTCTGTAAATGAGATAACTATAATTTAAACCTGCTTAATTGGAAACCTGGATTATTGGAAAGCTGGATTATTGGAAACCCTCAATAATTGGTACATATGTCTTGGTCCCTTGAGATCCCAATTAACCAGGTTTCACTGTATATCTTAGGGTTGCACTGCCGGGAGGTAATAGTTGGATGGGAAACTATGACCATTTTTGTAGGGACTTGGCATATAAATAAATGATTTACATGATGTAGAATTGTATTATTTTAATAGTTGATAAGTTTTTTAAATCCTTTTAGAACCATACCACTCCCTATAACTCTGCTTGGAAAAATAAGTCCTTCAGTTATCATCGTCCTATTTGGGCCCATTTTAGTCGTTATACCCCTTTTAATATATCAATGGTTATAGCGGTCAAATCGTGAACTCACTTATGCTCATAGTATCAAGAAGGCCGCTTCTAAGTTCACGTATTTTGACAGGCAACTTCGAAACCATACATTGTGCGTGCTCCGACACGCACTTGGCCGGTTTTATTTTGAAAAATCTCATGATCTTCGATACAGGATAGTAGGTATAATTATTTCATATATGAAGAGGAGGAAAAAAACCGAAAATCAAGTAGTCAAGCGTGAAATGCTCCACATTAAGGGATAGGTACTGCGTGTAATTATGACGTCTTACATACATACTAGTAAGTAGTTACATCAAATACTAGTGTAATACATCATCGTCATGTTCTAGCCCTCTGCAAATATTCCCTAAAAGGAAGAGTTCTGTACAGATATATGATATAACAGAAGATTTCTGTAATAGATTTTATCGAGCTAATAAAGAAAATTTTAAATATGACGATAATTATAATTAAAATACTTAGTCTACAGCAACACTATTTCATATCTATAATTATTTTAAAAAAAGATAGAAAAATAACTAGGTAAACATAAAAGTTTAAATGCTAATAAAATTGCATTCACACAGTCTTTAAAACTGGCAATTATTCGCTTGTTGATCGGACATGAATGTGAACGCTTCCTTGACAGAATTGAGTGTAATAAAGAGGGGTTGCGTTGGCGCAGGCACAGGTGCGCCGCGCGTGCATCGCTGCTGCGTCGCCATGTGACGGTCGGTTAATTGGATCTAATTGCGATAGCGTGAGCACTGCCCTATCGAAGGTAGTGTTGGTAGATTGGGTCGAAATTATGGCAATATGCCAGTTTGGACGGTAGATTGTTACAATTAATTTGAATTAGGGGACAAACAATTAATTTTATGTTCATCATTTAGTTATTATACTGTAAATTTATTTAATTCTTTGAGAACTTTTAAACTTTCAAAATAGTTAAAATATTAATCATATCGTTGGCGTCGGCAAAGTATTATAATTATGTGTTTAGTTAGAGAGTAATTTTATTCCTTCACACAAATGCAAATATACAGGTTTATTTTGCATTTACCGGCCAAATTTGCAAAGAAGGTTCAGAATACGAGTACGTAATATAGGCAAATGATGAAGAAAAATTAATTCAAAAAAACCTCAATCATTCTGTCCTTTTTATCTTTTAAATTCAAATGTGTGGTAATTGTTTTATTATTTTAACTGATTTTATTGCGCACGCACACATTCGTAAGGGTCGATCGGTAGGCAAAACGGGAAAAACGTTAGTGCCCATAAATCACATTCAGTTTGGGATAATTTCAAATAAAAGTGGAACTCTTATTTACTCGTATTTACAAAAACTGCAAAAACGGTATATCGTTATTTATATATTTGAACTTAAGTTTAAAAATTTGTCTACTTTTTGAGAAAAAAAAAACATGTATTTTCTTCTTTTATATACCTATCTATACATTTTGGCAAGAGGGCCTAAATATTTTGTGTATATTTTTACTTATATAATTTTTTTTTCAAAAGCATTACATTTACTTTTATAAGATTTTCTCCTGTCTCGTAGAGGCAGTTTACAAACATAAATTGCACGAGGACAAACATCCAGACCCCGAACAATTATTTGTAGGCCATACAAATTCTTGTGCCGTGCGGGATTCGAACCCGCGGCCCCCAGCGCAACAACTCATTGCTAAGCCACTGCGCCACGGAGCCGTTAACCCCATTTGTGTACCCAGTATATGCGACTCAATTAAAAAATGATCTGCTTTAATTAAATTTAACCTTTTTGTGCGGTTTTATCGCTAAAAGCGATTTATTCCAGACAATTAAAATACTACAATTACTTACAAACTTATGATATACAATAAGTTGTTAGTTTGTGTCGCTCTAACACGAAAGCGTTATGATAAAAGCTTTGATTTCCAGTTTTTTGTGGAAAAGAGCAAATAAAACAACCATTAGAAATGAAATAAGAACTAAAGATTTATTTATAGCTATCACAATAATTGGATTGTAATCTAATTTTATTACAATAGAATTTTAACTTAAAAATAAATAACACATACGTTTAATTGAAACAAAACATTACTACCTCTCTTCTTCTCTGTTCTTGTGTACACAAATGCAAAGCAATGGTAGTTCATGTCATGTATGTTATGATGTTAAAATGGAAACATGAAATACATTTATGACTCCATTATTAATATAAACTAAATACACTAGAAAATAACAATGAAAATTAGATTTTTACTAAATGATGATTTAAGTCTGTATTTCCCACTAATTAGAGAACGCTTTACGTTGCGATTTAGTCACTACGTTAGAGCTAATAGCATTTACAATTATTGAGAAATAATTCCACTTGACCTGCTGTATAAGTTGCATTTTTAATTATTGCACTTTATGCTCACTAGTAATTAGGTAACGAGTAATAAGCCGATTTCTTATAACGTTATTTAATTATACAAAAATTCTAGGCAAATATTTATAACAAAAACATTACAAAACATAAATTCCATTTATGAGAAAAGTATTGAAAATACTGTTATTATGACTGCTATTCATGTGGTCCCGGATTCGAATCTCGGGTCGAGACATAAACAGATATTACGTATTTCTATCAAGAAATTATCATCATCATCATTTTGAGAGGTTGGCGGTGTTTTCACCCTTGTGTCGTTAAAAACACATATAGGCGTTAATCCTGCGCACGATACCTCACCGGTCATGTGGATTGCCGTCCCATCGGACTATGAGTGTGAGGGAATAGCGAGTACAACTGTGTTTACGCACACTTTCGTGTACTATAATCCGGTCTGGTGCAAATAGCATTCCGTTGAGACTGGCCATCGTGACCGAAACTTGGTTGATGATCTGCGAGATATATTAAGATCAATTTTTAGTTATGTTCATAAAAATAAAATGGAAAAGGAATAATAAAGATATGAATGCACTACAGCGATGTGTTTTGTCTTATACGAGTATATCCATTGACGTTGAAATCTTATACACAAGAATTAGTACATTAAAAGCTTTTCGTAAGTACTGACTCTTAGGACGTTTTCATAAATCATGACTATTTGGTGCCATTTTTTGTCATTCACATATCTAAGGCTACTTTTATCCACTATTATATAAAAAAACTAGAAAAACTATATTTGGAATAAGCAGTAAAGCAGCTATTACTTTTTGCAGTTTAAACTTACTTTATAAAGACATCAACGTGCTAAGTCAAGTAATACTCATCCGACATTTTAAAAATTAAGGACAACATTTTAGGTACAACGTATCTTTTCACACTTTATGAAATAAGGGCACCTTGCGAATGAGGCTTAATGTGCACGGGGTGCGTAGGATGGGGATGAGCGGGGTGGGCTGCATGGGGAGGTTGACGTGTCTGGTGGCAACGCTGCGCATGTACGTGTGAGTGCGCGCGCAACTCCTCCCCATGTTCGCGATAAGCACGCTGCTTGTCTTCAAAATCCCTCAGCCTTTGGTTATAACGTTCAATCTGATCTCTCAAGGCAGCATCTTCAATAGCAGCCCTTTCCTCATCAAGTTCCAAACATCCGATTCCCTCAAGCTTCTCCAAATCAATCGAGCCGCGCCATCGAACGCAAACGCCATTCATTATAAATCTGGACACAATATGTACCTGATGACAAAAAAGGGCAACGTTAGATTTAAAAATGAATGAACCTTTCTCTGAATTTTAAACAAAAAATAAAGACAAAAAATATTACGTTGTAGGTGGCACGTTCCTTTTTAAAAGAATGAGTTCATCAGTCACATGTTTTGGAGTTAAAATCGTTACCAAATTTTTGGTATTTTTAAATGTAAATGTATATAAAACAGAAGGTTGTAGCTTAATTGGTTTAAGTTTAAAGCGGGCCAAAAAATGGATAGGTGACAAATGAGCATACAGTTCATGATGATAAATGGATTCTGTGGGCCTTAGCAACTGACATCTATCTCCGGTTAAGAATCAAAATGTTGATGCGTTGTCACTCCTGCAAACTAAGACAAAATGCCTCATTACCAGTAAAATGGGTCTCCGGTTCTCTACGCCCACTATACAAAACACAGCAGCATTAAGTTTTTTTATAGGATAGTGTGACAAACGAGCACACAGTCCACCTGATGGTAGGTGGTTTCTGTGGCCCATAGACATCTACATCTATCCTCGATTACGAATCAAAATGCAAATGCGTTGTCACCCGTGAGGACTGAGGTGGAATGCCTCGTTTCCAGTAAAAAGGGTCTCCGGTTCTCTGCACTCACCATATGAAACAGTTGCTATTGTACACGCTGGTATTCTGTGCGAGCGAGGTCATATCTGTCACGATACGACCATATTAGTTGCTGCGTGACTATCACGTCGAAAAAAGCAACTACATTTTGGAACAGCATTGCAAAGTAAAGATACATTTTTTGTAACAAGGAACGAGGAGATAAACAACTCATGGCTTTTCTTTTGAAAAAAAATGACAATCTCAAAATTATATTTAAAAGGTAAAACGACATAAGGCAGGCGTAGAGACTTGCAGATCGCGTGCTGCTTTTGTTCCGGCGTTCGACTCGCGCAAACATATAATTGCCACGAACAATGTTCACAGAGAATACAGTTTGGTAAATAGTTAATTATTTAACTTCATTTTAAAAAAATCGGTAAACCCAAAAGTATACACTCCAAACGCTCATATAATGTTTTAAATAAATTAGAGAAGTGATTATCGAAAGGAATCAGCTCTACATGATTCTGAAGTAGTGAAAAAAAAAATAGGTCGTTTTGTTAAGTGTTCTCGAGATATCTCATACACAGGGAATTTATGAACCACAGACTAAAGGACGTCCATAATATAATTTCTTGATCGTACTTTTTTTTTATAAAAAATGTGTTATTGAATTTAAAAAAAAAAGCATTGGGCTTGTTCTTTAGTATTTTCTCTTTCTAAACATGGGCTTTCCATTACATATTAATTCGATGTTAAATAATAAAAACGACTTAATGTAAATGAAACGAGTGATTTACAAAATTCGACAGTAGAGCCCAACCTCTCCGCTTTGCGTTTGAGGTGTGCAATTAACTTACAGTAGGATATGTACATATATACTGCTACTAATCTATGGTAGGTGACAAGAATATTTTTTTTAATAATAAATTTGTTTTAAATACCTATATGTAGTAAAGTTCTGTTTTTAAAATAATTTTAATAACTTTAAATCTAAAACTATAAGCAATTCCATTTCTACTAACTATTTAGAAGGGGAAACTTATGATGGTAAAAATTGAGAATATATAAGCGGATTTACCAATAATGTATGATTATATTTCTCCAAATGTATATGGGGCTACCCCAAAAGTACAACATATTGAATAACAAAAAGTATCATCGAAGTCGGTTCGCAATTGACGAAGATATTAGTATGATATGTACAGAAAAAAGATACAGTTACATTGTAAATACTACCTTTATTTAAAGTCGTAAAATAATATCTAATAATAATAATAATGATTATTATTATTATTATTATTAATTGATTTATTAATTGCTTTAAAACAAGTAGTAAGTTGTGGTTGGGTAAATAGTATAATATAACAATACGTAAATAGAAACCTGTAACAGAGGGCCCGGGGGCCCGGGCCCCGATCTTCTGTAGTAGGTACAATTATATTACTAATTTAAATTAGAATTAAATAAAAAAGCTACACAATTTAAAACTGCAAGTAAGGTATAATTAACGACATTTGCGTGATTGTGTGAAAAAAAGTGTGTGTATTGGTGAGTGTGAGAAGACAGTATGAATATATCATTGGTATCAGTGTGATAATTTATAAGGCAATATTTTCAGGAAGGTATTTAGTTTCTTCATAGGCAAGTTTTCTTAACCAGTCTGTTACAGTTTTTTTTACAGTCCACCATGAGTCATAGGGTAAATTTAGAGTTTTTGGTTTATTTTTTTTGTAAAAGTAAATTGAACGTCTAGTACATGTAGTAGTGATGCAAACTTGCTCTTAAATAAATCTTTGTAGGATACCTATTGTATATTTTCTACGTGGGGTGATTGATGACGGTTGGTAATTTACAGAATTATGAAGGTTTAAAACTGTTGCTAAAATGCTCTCTTACCAAATGTGAATGGCACAATTACTAAAGTTCAGTATATAAATATATGTTTACCTATACCATATAAATAAATAAATTAAAAGTGTCTGTCTATTATATTGAAATAATTGCCTTTTATTGTGCTGAAGGGTTTTATTAACATGCCATTAAGACATTTATAACTGTAAAATATTTGTCTGTATGTACGGGCTAATACTCTGAATGGCTGAACCGATGGTAATGAAACTTGTTTTTCGAAAAATTATTAAATTAAATGATCTTTAATGGTTATCCTTTATTCCCATTTTCTTATTGATAAAACAATAAATAAATCAATTACTTCTCAAGTAAAAGATACATCTTTTCAAAATTCAGATTACCCAATAATATTCATTTCAAATCAATAATACTAATTTATCTCGGGCCCTGACGGTTCGACAAAAAATGAGATTGACTTCATTATGACGACCAGACGACAACTGTTCAGTGATGTCTCCGTGATCGCGAGGGTGAAAACTGGTAGCGATCACCGAATGGTTAGAGGCATACTGAACCTAAATGTTAAGTTGGAGAGGTCTCGTCTAATGAAGTCAACTCCCCCTCGTGCTCTGTTCCAGAGTCCCGAAACCTTTCAGATCGAGCTACAAAATCGTTTTCAGTTTTTTTTTATAGGATAAGGGTGACAAACGAGCACACAGTCCACCTGATGGTAAGTGGTTGCTGCGGCCCATAGACATCTACATCTATCCTCGTTTGCGAATCAAAATGTAGATGCGTTGTCACCCGTGAGGACTAAGATGGAATGCCTCATTTCCAGTAAAAAGGGCCTCCAGCCACCTGCACCAAGCGAAACGCAGAGGTAAACCTCTACTTCACGCTGGTAATCTGTGAGGTCGTGGTACCACCCCGGTTCGAGCCAGCCCATCCGTGCGACAAAAAAAAAACTGCCGCGTGGCTCTACCACAGTGCCTAGAAGACTGCAATGAAGTGGACGATATGAAGGTGGAAACTGTCTCTCACTCCATCTAGTGGGGACTAGATGGAGTGACGACCTGGTAAGACATGCAGAAAGTCGACGGATGCAGGTGGCTCAGGACCGTGCTTTGTGGCATTAATTGGGGGAGGCCTATGTTCAGCATTGGACTTGTGAAGGGCTGTAATGATTATGATGATGATGATCTAGATCTCGTCCTAAATTTGATTTAAAAAAAGTATTTGAGTCGAAAGTAATGGATGGCGACTTAAAAAATGCAACCCGTATTTTATTCTCAGACGACATCCTGGTTCCTCGTAATGTCGAAACTCTTGAAGGCCTTCGTCAAATGCATCCTTCGGTCAATCCTTCTCAAAGTTTACCGCTGCCTCCCAAGACTTCTATGCAACCATTACAAATTTCTGAAAAAGACACTTTGGAAGCAATTGCCATTATGGAATGGCTCTGCTGGCGGCATGAACGGAATTACGCCCAACATTTAAAGATCTTGTGAGCGCTTCTGCCGGTGACACCGACGAAGTACTTCTTAATGACATTACAAAATTATGTAACTTTATGCTTTCTGTTAATGTTAATCCAAATTTCATTGCATTGTTATATGGCGCAAGATTATGTGCCTTTAAAAAAAAGGATAACGGTATCCGTCCTATTGCCGTTGGTTACAAATTAACGCTTCGACGCTTAACTTCAAAATTAGCTCGCAGGCACATCTCTAACCTTAAGACAAAATTTCAGCATACTCAACTAGGACTTGGCACTAGAGGTGGCTGTGAGGCGGCGGACCATTCAGTGCGTACATTTTTAACAAACTCTGATGCCGATGTTCTTGTGAAGGTTGACCCAAGGAATGCTTTTAACTCTATCGATAGGGTAACCCTGCTGAAAGAAGTGGCTAACAATACCCCCGAAATTTATCATTACGTTTGGCAATATTACAGTCAAAATACTAACTTGTTTTATGAAAACCATGTTATCGATTCTGCTATCGAAATTCAACCCATTATTTCAAAATTGAAATCCAAGCTGAATGTCTGGTACCTGGACGATGGTACACTGGGAGGTAGAGCAGATCACGTCCTCAGTGATATTACTCATATTTTTCGAAATTTTCAAAATATTGGTCTTGAACCAAATAGCAATAAATGTGAAATATTTTTTTCAATAATTTATCTACTTCTCACAGAGACACTTTAATTCAAAATTTCAATCATATCTCTCCAGGAATAAAAACTATCAGTACGGAATCACTATACCTGCTAGGTGCCCTGTTGTTTTTCTATACTATTAAACTTGTTTTAAAAACAAAATTTGATTATTTTTTAAACCACGTTGATAAATTGAATAAAACTACTTTTACAGATTTTATCGCGTTTAATTAAGTTATTTTTATTAATTCCCGACATTTCGGTTGCTTTCCAGAACGTTGATAAATTATATAAAGTAAGCCCCCACATTGCTCTTATTATTTTAAAATATTGTCTTCTTGTACCTAGGTTTACATACTTACTCCGCTCGAGTTCAGTCTGGAAATGTTCGGATATTTTAAAAGATATT